CGGGGGCGGGGGTGCGTTGTATAGATGGACTTATATGGGTAATGGACTTTGTTGACGGCTTTGTCAATCTCTTTCCTTCCCCCCCCCCCCCCCTCACCCCGCCCCACCCCCCATCCCCAGACCTCACACATGAGCCAGTGGCGGCTTTTTGCCGGGCATCGACTAACCTAACTTCCGAAGGTTAGCAAAATGACCAAGTCTGACCCTCTCAGTGCTGCTCGGCTTAGTGAACGCCGCTTTATGAGTGAATCAGGTGTTCGTGTAAGCCCCCGGTCGCCTCCAATCATCCTCGTCACGACGACCGTACATTCCCACGACGACAGATGGAACTAGGTGCTGCCCCACCTCCAGCCTGCGGCGCGCGGCGATTTACTGGACGTGCTTTTTAGCGTGCTAGTCATTTGATGCGTCCATGAAGTCGTGTGGCACACATGATTACTTTTTATGTGCCAAACTACATGTGCATGGGGTCATTCTGGGACTCCTCGCTTGTTGCCGCGTGCCGTAGGATGTTACGGGAAATGTGAGATATATACGTCAGCCTCTCTCTTCCCGGACATTTGGGATCGGGCATCACCAAGATTTCCTTTTAGTGTAAATAGATGCGCACGAATGTCATGATGCACCAGTATGGGTACAGCACCAGGATGAACACAGTACCAGTATGGGTATGTACCAGTATGAGTACAGCGCCAGGATGAGCCCGTACCAGATAGTATGTACCAGTATGAGAGCAACGTAAGGATGAACATAGTACCAACATCAGTCTGTGCCAGTATGAGAGTTTGTACCACCAGTACCAGCTGTACCAGGATGACTGAAGGTGGTCCGCTGTTTGTGCGGACGTCCGCATTACCGATGTCCGGTGGCGTTGGATAAGTAGAATAGCACGAGAAGGGTCAAACTAGGTCAAGTTCGTGCCAATGTGCTGATCTTTGCAGGTCAAACCAAGCAAAGCCCGGCAACAGCCGAAACTGGTTCATGCGTGGGGTCCAAGGGGGGCTTGAATTTTGAACATTTTGAACAAAGGTGATCGACCGTGAACATCCACCAATACCGGGTCGCATGATTATCCCCGTGTGTTTTCAACAAATGTTTTTCGGCAGCATTACAACTCCTTATCCCTTGGGTAGAGAATGGCACCATAGGACACCGCAGACCTGGACCTGGCTGCATGGTAGTTTTCAGCGAAACCGTTTGCAAATGAATACGAATCCGAATGTCAATATATAACTATGCTGTGCCTGCAAACGTTGAAAACTTAGCCCTGTGCTCAAAATGGTTTACAACCTGATCAAACCATATCTTCGAGAGCACCAAGTCCGCTGTCCGGCGAGCTTAAGCATGAAGCGCAGCTGACGCACCTGATACCGCATAGCGGAAGCCGACCGGCTTCGCTCCATGCGCGTTGGCCGCTGCCAGTGGCTCTTCAAGGCCCGCCGATAGGCGCGCCCGAACCGCTGCAGCAGGCAGCGTCAGACGGAGCCGCCCCGGCCGGCGCACGGCGCGCCCGAACCGCCGCTATCGCTCGAGCGACGGTGCCAAGAAAGGTTACATGGGTCTTTTATCGGCAGAATCTCGCGCGTTAGTCCGGAGCGATCCCTACCGTGATGAGGACGCACACCTCCCTGCGCTGGCCCTTCTTAGTGGGATCGAAGTCCTGGGTGTGGAAGAAGCTGGAGTAAGCCGAGGCAGTGCTGTCCCGTGTCACTTCGCGCACCTCCAACAGGCCACCGTTGAAGTTCACCGATCTGGAGCGGCGTCCGTCCAGTCACTTCTCTCATTCACTCCCAACGGATTGCCGGCACGCAAACCAACGTCCGTGTCCCAAGTCACCGCAGCATGGTCTTTGCTACGAAATCGAACGCAGTGGTATACAGATTCATAACCAGACGTTCATAGATCGCGTGAAGACTACGCGCACTGACATAACACTGGTTAAGAATATTGCAAGCCTCCAAAACTTGTGTAGATTTGAAGAGGTATAAGCGAATGGCACGTGTAAGGAGAGCCGTTGGCAAACGTTTCAGGACATCGTAGATATTTGTAGTTACTCTGCTCTGAAATGACACACCATTTTTAATGACACGATATCAACACGTCCGTGTTGCATACCATACAGTCTCAACCATTCGCTACAACGCTGACAAATGCAGTGCCCACACGATCAAGAGTTACTCTAATATTGCTTTAGTACAAAAAATGTATTTATTGCGACCTGCAACCAGCGGGGTGTCCTCTTCAGAACTTGCAAGTTTGCAGGCAATGCCGGAGGGAAGGGCTTTCCACAAATGGCGTCCGAAATCTGTTTTCCTTTAATTTTGTAGTACGATTAGAGTGTAGTCAGGTAGACGAATGAAGTGGCGAAAAGCCTAGAGCCTGACAGACGCGCTTGTATTTCACGTCCGACTCAAGAACCTTTTACGAGAAACGAGGCGCCGTATTTGGTGCGCCGTGCGCGGCTCCGGCCGTGACGGCAGTCGTGTTCGGGAAGTGCAGAGGACAACACGCATCTGACACCAGACGGCATGCCAGCTCAGTTCACGGCATGCAAGGATCTAGCGTTGAGCCTGCTGGGGGTTCGGCAAGGGAACAATCAAACCGCCAGAACAGCGACCCTGCCAGTGGTCTACCCGACATAGGCTATGTCCGTTCCACGTTTCTTTATACAGTTTGCGCTCAATTTCGCAAACCACCTTTTTCGCGCGCACACCCTTTGAAGCCCAGACTTGCATAAGTCACCCATTGTTCTCTGAAAGCTTAGGCTTCAAGATGGTAGATTTCACCAGGTCTCTTTTAAGCTTATTGACGTTTTCCAAGCTATGCGTACGCACATTTTGGATTTTGTAGCGATATGTTTGATTTTCCAAAGCAAGTGTTCATCTAAGTGAGGTAGTATTGAGGATCCGTTGTCGGACGGGGCGTGCTCCTGCCTCTTACCACCCATCCCCGCCGTGCTCTAGGTTGTTTTACCTCTTCAAACATTCTATGTTAAAGTCGTGAAGAATATCCACCGCCCAGCAGAAAAATGCACCTTATTATGCTCTTTCTTTCTTTTTCACTACTTGAGTTATTCAGAGCCCCGTAAAGCATATTTCGAATTATATTGTGCTTGATAAAGAGCTCCATTTTAAACGTTGTGCAGTTGTTTCTCCTTTCTATTGCAAATAGTGTATCCAAATATCGGACGCTCTTTCCGTCCCTTGCATGCTCCATCGTAAAGGCCAGTGTAAGTCTCTGGTCTCTGTTCAGGCGTCTACACTCCAGCATGATCATCGATGTATCTAGCTGAGAAAGCTGGTTGAAATGGGCTGGCGGCCAGGGCTTTCGTTTCCAATTGGCCTAAAAATAATATCGCCGGAGGAGCCCATGGGTTCCTCATTGTTATGTCCAATTTCTGTCGATAGCAGTCATCTCCTAACGATAAAACATATCCTGGAGATACTGTTCCAACAGACCGCAGATATATTTTTTGATGAACAGAAAGCATCAATATCATGGAAATGTTTGTCTACCTAGTCTACCTTGGTCTACTTTGGCCTCATTGACTGGTATACTGCCATATCAATTGACCACATCTACACTGAAGAAAATACCGCCCTCTGGCACCCTTTCCGCCTGTAAATGATTGGAAGCCGTTTTAAAAACCTCTCGTGTCCCACAGATAAGTGGAAACAAACCTCAAAAGCTCATCGAGTGCTTTGTCTAAATGACACCAGGTTTTTCTGTAAACCGTCGCACGCAGATATGAAGTGTCTAAGCTGCACTGCAGGCTTGTAATCCTCAGGCTCCCCATATAACACGTGCGTTTTCATGTATCTAGGTGCATGATTAATGTTTCAGTTACGTTTTGTGCTACATAATACACTATGTTGTACATTCTTCCTGGATATTATGGAAACAAGGCTTGCAACCGAATGCTATAAAAATAGCAGCATAACCAAACCTGTGAATACAAGTAAGTACCTTAACTCACTGATGAATATGCAAGAGCACCACGATAAAGGGCCAAAATACGATCACCTAACAATGTTTTGTTCAGTATAACACCAGCGCCGCCACTGTCATCGCTCCGGAGACTGAGGAGCTACACGTGAGTGCTGTCATATGGCGTTCGATGGCGCAATCAAGCAATGACCTATTAGGGAGCAATGTACTAAAAAGAGAAATATAGAATAGAGAAATAGACAACTAACTGGAGAAATGTTGTTGTCTGGAGTAGGTTTTTTTTATCTAAAAGCATGCCATCAGTTATAAGTGAGCTTAACTCATAATATACGATGCTTGCTTCAATATCTTCAAATGTGGAACATTTCCTTTAGTGTTGTGATACCAGATGTTTCGATCAGGTACTGCATTTTGCAAGTCCATGTACGGTTAGTGCCTAGTGGATACCAGAAAATGAAAGCTTAACTTGGCTTTATCGACATCCTCCATCCTCAACTTTTCTTCTCCCTTTTCCAACCCATTCTCAACCAATGACCCGTTTCCTCAAAAGGAGATGCCTTCGTGAAAGCGATGGAACGTGTCAAATGAGATAGGGACTAGTTTCCGCATTCGTGTGGTATCGAGACGAGGGTATGTTGGGACTATCTCTTAGAAGACTGAACAATAGTCCCATGTTGGGGCTATCTGTTATAAGACTGAGAGATAGTCCCACAACACATACCATTGTTGTATGTATACAATATCGTGTGCACCATTGTTTTATATATACAACAATGGTGCAATCGTTGTATATATACAACAATGGTACACACGTGCGTGTGTGCGTGCGTGCGTGCGGCGTGTGGTGTGCGTGTGCGTGTGTGTGGTGTGGTGGTGCGGTGTGCGTGTGCGTGTGCGTGTGCGTGTGCGTGTGCGTGTGCGTGTGCGTGTGGTGTGCGTGTGCGTGTGTGTGCGTGTGCGTGTGGTGTGCGTGTGCGTGTGGTGTGGTGTGGTGTGGTGTGTGGTGTGTGTGTGGTGTGTGTGTGTGTGGTGTGGTGTGGTGTGGTGTGGTGTGTGTGTGTGGTGTGTGTGTGTGTGTGTGTGTGTGTGTGTGTGTGTGTTGTGTGTGTTGCAAAATCCCCTATGCAAGAAACTGCATGAGCCATGCACATAACATAGTAAGTTCTACTGCAACCGCGGAGGGTACAGGACAATGACATGTATGCCGTAAGTGCCGTTATACTTAAACGCTTGATAAAGTCAGGGTGAAAATCACGGTGAAATCAATAAGCGACATTCTGACGCGCGTGTTAAATACAGCTCATTCTCTGAGCGGAGGGACCATGATAGAATGTTGCCATGACAACACTTCGCTAGCTTCGTCCACCACCAAGCCTGCTGCAAATAAATTCCGCTGCATCAGTCGAGTGCGCCAAGTTTCGGTCAAAACGATCAAAGCATGACAGTTTTGCTCCACGTAATGCAGACGCCAATCCGACTTTAATTGGCGTATTCTAATAGTGTCCTGATAAACTGGAGCAGCATGGACTGCCGCTGATAAAAAGGTCACATATTAGCAGCTTAAGGAATAAGAAACCACAGCACAGCTTAAAAATCGGATATGTCTGAAGCCGAAGAGGAGACGCCAATACCAGCGGAAGACACCCACGTCTTTATCAGTGCGCTAGATTCGTACATTGGTAGAAACTTAGCTGAAATCTTCTCCGGACAAATACAAGCGGTGAGTCCCGAAGAAGAGGAGGAGCTTGAAGAGGAAGATAAGGTGGAGGAGGAAAAACCGTCTTCTACGAAAATTCACGGTGTGCAGAGAGAGCAAAAAGACAGTGGTATAAGTGACTCTGAAACCGTTCTGACCTCCTCCCAGGCCACCGATCGAGATACTTTGTTGGCTTGTATGGAACTATGTGAAGTAATAATTTACGACATCACAGTTGGAGGACAGGACATGATCGACGAAGCGACATGGGCAGTGGAAACGCTACACGACCGGCTGGAACTGTGGCCTAAGAGGAAAACATTCATTTTGATATCAACCGTAATGACATGGGCAAAGACCAAGCCCGTAGATCCAGATGACCCAGACACTCCATTCACTGAAGAAGATTACCGAAGACGTCGAGCTCATCCCCATTTTCAAGAGCATCTTAAATGCGAAAAGACAACTTTTGCGTCGGGAAAAACCAACAAGAAGAAATTTAAGACATACGTGATAGCTGCTGGAGCAACATTTGGAAAGGGAGAAGATATTTTCCACTCATGGATGAAGCAAGCCTGGCACAATGAAAAAGAGCTTACTGTGTACGGTCGTGGTAATAACGTTATACCAACCATTCACGTTCTGGACCTTGCTCAACTGGTCCAGTACACATACGAGAAACGCCCGCCATCGCGCTACATTTTGGCCGTGGACGGGCTATCAAATACACAGCGCGAGATAGTGAAGGCTATCAGCATGGAACTTTCAACGGGCCAAGTAAAAAGAGCGGACAAAGAGGACATTTTCCTCACGGATATGACCCTTCTGCATGCTGATCTGATCACGAGTGACCTTAAAATGGAGGGTATCGTTTTTGCTGACGACATCGAAGAGAGAAGGTCTGAAGAAGGTTTCGTAGAGGGCATTCTCAGTGTGGTCAAAGAATACAAAGCGGAGAGAAAGAAAACTACAGCCCTATGCGCATATGCATCTTGGGACCCCTGTATCTGGGAAAACCTTTTCTGGCACAAAAGTGAGCAGGCGTTACAAGCTTCACCACCTGCGCGTGGATGAAATAATAGAGAAAGCAATCAAGGATCTGGAGGAGATCGCGCACCCGCCGATCCCAGACGACCCACCCGTCACGCTCCCCGAAGAGAAGCAGAGCAACGAAGAAGCTGGCTCGGAGCAGCAAGAGGAAGAAAGAAAGGAGAGAACAGGAGCCTGAAGACTTCGAGGAAGAAGTAGAGGAGGAGGAAGAAGACGAAGATAAGATGACCCCCGAAGAGGCCCAGGAATTACTGCAGGATATCAAAGATCAAAGAGAAGCTAACAAAAATGGTCGATTGGATGAAGCCACAGTGCTGCAATTCGTTGAGGATCGGATTAGGTCCAAGCCTTGTCAGAACCAAGGATTTGTACTGGACGGATATCCCAAAATAACGGAACAGGCAGAGGGATTATTTGGGGCGGATGAGGAAGCAGATGACATTGGTGAGGAAGACGAACCCCAATATAATCGTGCGACGATGCCAGAGCTTGTGATCGCACTGAACGGAACCGATGAGTTTTTATGTGAGCGGGCAATGAATCTCCCGGAGGAGGTTGTGCAGGGCACCCACTGGACGGAGGACGGTGTGCTGAGGAGGCTGACTGAGTACAGAAACAACAACAAAGAGGACGTCAGCGTGCTGAACTTCTTCGACGAATTGGAAGTGCACCCATTGGAAATAAACATATCCGACGATACCAGCCCTGAACTGGAAGAGGAATTCCAGATGATCTCTAAGAAACTGGGGCCGGCCAGAAACTATGGGCTGACGAAGGAAGAGGCGGAGGAAGAACATCAACGCCAAGAGGAGGAAAGGACAGCGAGAGAAGCACGACAGCGGGAAGAGACGGACCGATGCACACGGGAGGAAATGGACAACCGAAGAAGAGAGCAAATGATCTGGATGGAGAAAATCACGGAAGTGAAGCTACAAGAGCTGGAAGCGCTAGAGGCACGGTCTTTGCCTCTCAGAAATTACTTGATGAAGCACGTGATACCAACGTTGACTCAAGGTCTTTTAGAGTGCGCTAAGGTGAAACCAGAAGATCCTGTAGATTTTCTGGCCGAGTATCTGTTTAAAAACAATCCGCAAACAAACCTAGTGGAATGGGAGGAGCTGCAAAAAAGCAAAGTGGAGGAAAAGGAAGCAGCAAGGAAGGAAATGATGAAGACGTGGCTTGCAGATGCTAAGCCACCTGAAGGCAACGACACCGGGAATGATCAGATGGAGCCGAAAAAAGAGGGACTGGAGTCGACCTCAGCACCTGAAGAACAACCGAAAACTGCTGAAGAGAAACCAACAGAAAACGAGACAGGTTAAATGCTCCAGCGCCCAAATTTACATGAAGTGGCAACGGATTGCATGGGAAGATAATTTATGCCCGCAGAAGCACCATAGGTTATTAGTGCCGTGGACATGCTGTATTACAACGCGCATCTGTAGCCTGCTTAATATTGTCGTAAGGGAACACTTGTGATAGATATGGACTGCGACCGGACGACGTGTTTGCGTGCTGTTGCAAAAATGTCAAACGCTTCTAAAATTGCATCGCCTATTACCTTATTGTGAGGTGATGGAAGTATATTACAAGTGAACAGTCCGAACTGCTTGTTCATTACCACACTGAAGTGTCCATCGTGCATTTGGTGGCAAATCAACTCCGTTCTCCTTTTTGTGAGGCCTCCGTATCATACCTGGCAGCCTGCGCCCATTCCCCGCAAGGCGCGCTGGTATCTGCATCCACCAGTCGGCGGCGAGCGCTGGACTGGCGCGGCTGGACCCGACCCCGGCCACTGGGTCACTAGCTGTCCCCTTCGGTCACCGACCTTTTGTAGACTGAGGCTCGGTCGCTAAAATATGCTCGTAGTTGTTGATGTATTCTTACACTACTCTGGACATTGTATCGTGCGTTCCGGTAACGATTATATAGCATACTCTTCTAAACGTACTTACGGGTGCAGGTCATCCCGGCCTGGAAAGCAGACGCGTCCATCTACACCTGCCTGATGATTACGAGCGAAGCCACAGGCCCAGCGAATCTTACCTGAATGATCACCTGGGCGGCGTGGTTACATGGTGCCCATTCCAATGCAGGAGGGAGGTGTTCGGTTCAAGCCCAACCACAGCAGCCTTTTTTTCGGACGACTCCTACCCAGGGGGTGGCGAGGACCGGGCAGTGATCGTCCTGCCGCGGGATTAACGCAGTGCGAGCTAGCGCTCGCGGCCGTATGCTCACGTGCATGGTATGGCTTTAAATAGATCCCTCGGTGCAGTGATCCAGCCCGAGGGCGCGGCCTCACTCTGGGCCAGTGCAGCTGTCCTCTGGCCACCGGACCCAAGGAGGCTTGATAGGCCCGCTGCGCACATGCCGCGAAAGCCTCCTGACTACTGTCAAGACGGTCCTGACTGCTGTTGGTGGGTGATCAAATGGTACTGACTGCTGTTAGTGCGTGATCAAGATGATCCTGACTAGCTGTCAATGCGTGGTAAGGATGGTCCCGAAAGGATGCTGAGAACGTAAAACCTCTGCCGTGTAAATGTAAAATGTATGCGTGGGCCTTTCCGTGCAACTAATCCAAAATGCTCTGTGATACGGCACCAACAATGTGTAGGTCTTAATCAAAATATGTGACGATTTTCTACTCCAAATTCTTGGTCGTGGCGCTTTCTTAAACATATATTTACATACAGCTTCATGCAGTTTTAAGCAGCAAGCCCAATCCTCAAAAATCGCGTAATGCAAATCGCTAGGCATTTGCAACAGATTGTCTATCTGGCGAGTTTCTGCGGCAAAATCGTATTATCGCCGCGACTTCACCCCCTTGCTGGATCAACATGAAAAAGTGATATCTTAAAATTTCGAAAAGGCTGAAAAACACCGGTCAAAGCCGCGTCCATGTCTTGACGATTCGGTTTCGCAGCGAGACGGGACAAACAGATCCTGAAGGGAGGAACAAGACAACCGTATTGATAAAAGCATGAGTCGATGTGTGCAGACGGTCACGTGGTCTCGTACGCAAACCTAAATCCCTTTTTTGGGCGTTTTTAGCGATTGACGTGGGATCTCAGCACCCAGACCAGATGAAAACGTGAAACCGACTGCACGGTGTAGCTGAGTGTATCAGCCGCAGTTTGCGCACGGATCTAAAACTGGCTCCACAGATCTATTCGTTCGCCGGTAATCGACCGAGAATCGGTCAGCGTCGCCTTTTTTGGAAATCTATATCGGATATCACACACTATGTCAAAAACAAGGGTACGTTTAGTTGTCAAAACGATACAGGTGCCCACTCTACTTACCGTCACCAATATCCACGCAAAACATCTGCGTTTTTCCAATACTATAGCAAAAGCTATAAAAAATGCGCATTTGTCGATGTCCTGCCTTAAAACTGTAAAGTCCGACTGAAGCCGTCAGCCAGACCGGTCAGCCTGGCCAGTCAGTTTTTGGGTATAGTTCTTGTCATTACGGGCTGGCAACAGTATTGCATCAGTGGACCTCAGCCTGATAAATTCGGATGACAGGCAGACTGAGCAGCCCTTCTCTCGCATCGACGAAAGCTGTCAGTGTCAATATCGGAAGACCTCTGCGTTTATTCACTTAGTTCTTGGCATCATCTTCATAACCCCTGCCACATATACTGTCACGTCTCATATCAGCCCATTCGTCGCGCGTCGCACAAGGCGTCTACCTGCAGTTGTTGCTAGCAGGAGTGTCGCAAGGCGTTTACCCGCAGTTGTTGCTAGCAGGAGTGTCACAAGGCGCTTACCTGCAGTTGTTGCTAATAGCAGTGTCACAAGGCGTTTACCTGTAGTTGTTGCTAACAGGAGCTTCCCAGGGCGTTTACCTGCAGTTGTTGCTCGCAGGAGTGTCACAAGGCGTTTACCTGCAGCTGTTGCTAACAGGAGTGTCACAAGGCGATTACCTGCAGTTGCTGCTAACAGGGGCGTCACAAGGCGTTTACCTGCAGCTGCTGCTCACAGGGGTGTCACAGGGCGTTTACCTGCAGTTGTTGCTAGCAGTGGTGTCATAAGGCGTTTACCTGCAGTTGTTGCTAACAGGGGTATCGCTTTCTAAAATCGGTTTGGGGACCGATCTAATAAAGTTGACCTAACCTTCCTCTAAATTATTATTTCTCGCCAGATTGCGGCCGCCGATTTGAGACGTACCTGACGTAAAAATTTAAACAAAGAAGGAACTGACCGGTTCCAAAATTGTTTTGATGTCGAGGAATGACTTTCCATTTGAAACCAATGTGATAATGATAATGACACTAGATAACAATGGCATAACCATGCCATGCGTTTAGACACCTAGTGTAACAACAGTCCAAACACTTGCTGTGTTTCATTGGCCCAGTATTCCATTTTTACTCATATGCATTGGGAGGGCTCGGAGGGTCACTGAGGGAGCTCAAGTCAGCATTGGGGGAGGAGGGTGCCCAGGCTCCCCGCAAGCATTTAAGGACACGCCCGGTTGCTAGTCTATGATGGTCTAGACAGACATTCCCAATGCAGGCTGACAAACACACCCAGCCGAACACCAGCAACGTGGAGCTTACAGAACTGCAGCAGGTATGTACTCACTCAACGCCTCTGGGTGGAGTAAAGGAAAGGTCCATCCTATACTGGCACTTGCTGTTGAGTTTGATGGTCTTCTCGCGCTTGAAGCGCTGTCCGTCCGTTTTATAGAACAGTGGCTGTCCGCCGGGCTCCTTCTTCATAGATAGCAGGACCTTGAAGCTGTGCTTCATCTCCTCTTGGTCTGACGCAACAGGTACGGGTCAGAGGGCCGCTTCTAGTTATGGCAACGATAACATGTTTCATGGAAGTGCATCTTGGCGCATCGAGTTTGAAGGGAAGCGAACCGAACAATAGATTTTAGAACGTTTTTCAATGCGGAAAGTTTCTTGCCAGAACGTCACTGAGACAACACGGCACATCTATCATCCCACTCTTAACAGCTTATCCTTTGACCCTTTTCGATCAGCTCGTTTCGCTATAAGCTGAATATTCAGGCCTGAGGGAGAAATTTCGCAGAACAAGTTGGTCTGAATGGGAAAATGGCTAAGCCTGATCACAAAACACCCCGAAAGCAGTGTTATTGTCATATGTGGCCCAGCATATTATCAAAGTTAGAGACCGTCCCCCCCCCCCCCTGCGCCCCGAACTGAATAGAAAACCACAGCCCTGTGCTAGCCGTTCAAGATCTCAAGCCCTGGGCGTACAGAGGACTCAGCAACGACCCCAGATTATTCTGGGTGTACGAAAGGTCTTCCCTATTGAGGAGCGGATACACATTTAGCCTGATGTTAAGCGTTCCAAACACTAGTAGCAGGGCTTCTGACTCCGTTTACGATCTTAAGTCACGGTTTCAATCGTGATTAAGCCCATATATCAAATCGTTCTCTTAGTGAAAGATCTTCAGAAATTTCCTTGGATCGAATGAACTACTGCAGTCAGCTGGGCGTGGTACATATGACCAAAAGCGTCCAACACCAGGAGTCATCACTCGCCCAATGCGAGACCTGATGAATGGCCGGAAATGCGAGCCGGCAGAAATGAATCCATTCATCCACTGCCTCGCGTTCCTAGAGAACCGGCCAGAGGAGGATGATTAACGTCCGGTGCCATGCTCCTCCCAACGTGTAGGCTGAATGCGGGCGGGGCTTCACATCTGATATGAGATGAGCCATAGAAAATGCTCGGTACGATTCACCTTGGCTTCACATTGCACTGGGCACTAGCGTACGAAAATGCTAATTTTGTAATTGGGAAGTCATTGGGAACGAGCTCACACTAATATATCTCTAATACAAGACATTAGGGTAGCGAAAAAACGCGGATCTAACGATTGATTATGAAACTGATGAACAGCGCGTGCATGCACTTTCAAAGCATCCCGAATCAAATCCCTGGGGCGTCCAGCTCACATTGGACCAACCGCTAACAGATGGTGTTTGTCCAGGACATGGACAGTCCGGGACATGAATGTCCATGCACAGGACATTCAAAAGAAAGCACACTCACAAAAAGCACGCTAACGCACGTGCATGGCTGACAGGGTTTACACAAACACGAATCAAAACTTAGCACAAAGAACAGAATGACAAGCGTTGGAGAGCTGAGCTCTCACATTCAGCTGTATCACGGCACGGTCAGAAGCATCAGCGTCAGCTGAACAAGATTCCCGCATCAGGGTTGGAAAAGGGTCGGGCTGCAGCCAACAGACGCTCTCGGCGAGGGAACCCCCATGCGTGGACCCCACACGAGAGGACCCCCCGCGATGAGACCTCGCACAAGTGGACCCCGCACGTGGGAAGACAATGCGCCTACCGACTGCATCTGTGGGCGGTAGCTCTTCCATGGCTGGAGGTTGGCCAACACTCGGTCCGGATGGCAGCTGGGCGCGGGCTGCACTGCCGCGGCTCGGCGTCAGCCCCCCCCCCCCCCCCCCCCCTCCCCCGCTATCACCTCCCAGCCGTCAGCTCGCGCCGGCAGTCAGTTCGGAGGCGACGGGTGGCGCGCCAAACGGCCGCCGCCGCTCTCGGGCGCGGCATAGGGTCGCGCCATCCCGGGCCGAACGTGACACAGTCGGCCGGCTCGTAAGCGCAGGAACCGCGCCCGTGCAGCCGTTGGACGTGCGATTTTGACAAGTCGTTGCGGATCTGGCCGCACGCCGCTGTGGAAGCTGTAAGCACTCGGTACCGCAGGCTGACGGACGCTGAGTAATGCCCGTTTTGTCCGCGGCCCACGGCTTTGGGACATTTATTACTTTATTGCCCTGATAACTCAGTTATCCACGGGTGGCCCTTAGATAGACCAGTGTTCGTTGTACCGAGTGCATAGTGCAATCAGATGTCCATGTCCTGCTTCCCAGAACCAAAGAATGTCGGTTTGCTAAAGCGAAGAAAACGACACAGCTAACGCACCGGGATGTTTAAATAAGCTGTTGTTGAAACCACGCATTTGATCGCGAACATTTCGAACACAAAATTCAGGCAAATTCACGTAATTCGATCTCACTGTCCCGTGCTAGGTCACGTGACATTTCTGTTGGGCCAGCACGCGCTGTCTCACGTGGCCGGAGAGGATGTGTTACATGATGGCGTCTTCTGGCGGCGGCTCAATACAGCCGCGCGTGCACTAATCAACGAGACAGAAGCAGACTAGACCGACACCAGATGCTGAGACAGACGGCTCGCAGAGTCGCCCACACCGAAACTCCGTAACACCGGCGGAGTGTGGATGTCCGTCAAGTTAGCGTTGCATTCGTATTCATGTTCATTATCGAGTCCAGATTTCTAACAGGAGTCCCCCAAGTCAAACCCTCTGAGTGATTCACGAATCTGCAATCCTCGTTTCCCTTAGTCACTTGGTTTGACCTCTGTAGGTCACTGAAATGTCAAAACTTGTATACCCTAGCATTTCTTCGTTAACGATGAAATCCAATGAAATGGATATTGCAGTCATTTTTATGATGCCCACCTTCGTTACGCCAGCAGAAACTCACTCTCGAGGTCAGACGTCAAGTACACATGAAATGGGTACCCTGACCTACCTTTGTTCATGAGAAGATGCAACAAAATGGTGTGATCTTGATGCCCATGCTGTCCTCTTTCGTCACATTTGCAAAAAACTAGCTTTCATGGTCAAAGATCAAGGTCACACAAAGGGCGGTACTCTAACATCTATTGTTTTACCAAAGAAAGACGACAAAAGAGGTGGCAAATAATGTTCATCATATTTGCTTTCGTCACATCTGCCAAAACTGACTCTCAGGGTCAAAGGTAAAGATTCCATAGATTACAAAAAAACGCGGTACCCTGACATTTATTAGCTAACTAAAAAAGATGCAATAGGTGCATAATAGTAATGCTCGTTATGCCCACTTTCGTCACACCTAGAAACGTCTAGGTCAAAGGTCGAGGTCACACAAGTAGTAATTTAGCAGTTATTCACTCACCCAGGAAACACAATTAGACGAGTATGATGTTGACGCTCATGACGCCTAATTTCCTCACACAAGCGAAAACTATGCATCAAAATTAAAGGTCAAGCTCACACCAAACCGGGTAATCCGGAATTTATTCCTTCATTAACGATATGCAGCAAAAACCAAATGACATTGAAGCTCACGATGCCTGCTTGCGTTGCACATGACAAATTTACCCTTAAGGCCGAAGGTCAAGGTCAAGTGGTGGGCGGCGCTTTCGCGTGCTCGTTTAACGCAGAAACACAGCAAAATGGGCATCGTAAAGACGCCTTGGCGTCCAAATTCGTTCCACATGAAAAATAGCTCAGGGTGAAGGGCCAAGGTCACACAATATAGTGGACGTGATAGTGGTGCTCGTGATGTCCACTTTCGTCACACTCGCGACAACCAACAAACAAGGTTAAAGGTCAAAGCCACGCAGAGCGCAATACTCTTGCATTTTTCATGCACTGAAGAAATTCCAAAACGTCACGTCATATTGATGGTTGTGATGTTTGCTTCCGTCAAACTTAAAAAACTAACTCGGCACCGCATTTTGTGACCCTGACCTTTGACCCTAAGTTAGTTTTTCCATACATGACAAAAACAGATATAACGAGCAGCAATAAAACACGACTTTTGCTGCATTTATTTACTAAAGAAATGTGTGGCAGGGTACTGCGGCGCACGTGACCCTGATCTCTGACCGAGATACTAGCTTTTCCCAGTTTAACGACACTGAATATTACCAAAATCAATAAATTAGCATTTTGTTGCATTTCTTAGGTGCACAAAAAATGCTAGACCACCGTGTTTTGTGTGACGTTGACATATGAACTTAGTTCTTCAGGTGTGGCGAAAGCGAACATCCTGAGCATTTATATGATACCCTATTGTTGGTATTTATTCAGTAAACGAACATTTTCATGACACTACATTTTGAATGTTCTTAACCGTTGACTAAAATAGTAAATGTTTTCAACCTTGACGAAATAAAACACGACTTCCTTCCTGTAAAGCACGACATCACGGGCATCAATAAAGCACCACTTTTGTTGCATTTCTTCGGTAAAGAAATGAAAGTCAGGGTACCGCGTTTTTGTGGGCTTCACATCTGGCCTTGAAAGGTACTCTTGCTAGGCATGACGAAAATGGACATTACGAGCACCTACTTGACACATATTTTGTAGCATATCTTAAGCAAAAGATTAAATTCCAGGGCACTGTGTTTTGCGCAACCTTGAATTTTCATCTAGTCACTTTGTCGAATGCAACGAAAGCAGGCATCACGAACATCGATATGATACGATTAGCGTTGCATATCTTTGGTAAATGAATGTATTCCATGGCACAATGTTTTTGTGACCTTGACCTTTGAGTTTGAAAGATGCTTTTTGCTTGTGTGGGAAAAGCAGAAATCAAAAGCATCAATTTCATACCCGTTTTATTCTCTTGAATGAGCGAACAAAGGCTAAGGTGCTTTTTTCTGTGTGACCTTAAACTCTGGCCTTGATTAGATGTCATGGTACCGCGTTTTGTGTCACCCTGACCTTAGGCCTTGTGAACTAGGTTTGGTTGGTGTAACGAAAGCGGGCACTACGAGTACGAGTCCACCTGAACCTCTTGTATCGGATTTCTCTAATAAAGGAATAAATCGTAGCTTACCGTACTTTGTGTGGACTTGATTTGTACCGTGAAAGGAAGTTTTTGCAGATCTGACGAAAGAGGACATCACGAGCATCAATATGACACCTTTTCTGTTGCACTTTCTTTAGGAGGGAAGAAATACCGGAGTATACCATTTTATGTGACCTTGACGTTACCTTTTAAGAACGTCCCTGCAGGCATGAAAAAGCAGACATCACGAGTATCAATATGATAGCCATTTCATTGGCTTTATTCGGTAAACAAAGCAATGCCAGGGTAACCAACTTTTGACCTTTCACTGGCCTGTAGAGGTCAAGCTAAGGGATTAAGAGAAGAGAGGACAGGAGATTCGTAAATAACTGAGTGGGTCAGGGCTGAGGGGACTGCTGTTATAAATCTGAAGTCGACGCTGTATTCAAATACTAATACGATGCCAACTTAACGGACATGGAGCATGGCATGCAAATTACTACCGTTGAATAACACGCACTGGCTTTGCGACGTCGGTTAACAAACATGTCCGAACGGAGGTAAGCAAAGAAATAGCACTGGTCAGTCGTGATTAGCGAGAATGCCAGCAGTCAATATTAAGGTCATGTAGGAGCGGCAAAGGTACAGATAATGCACCAAACCGATGCTGATGACCATCACCGCGAGAACAAAGAGCGCAGCCATTGTGCCGCCCACTGTGTGGTAGCGGCTATCTGCAAGGGTTGCGGCAAACCACACAGAGCAGCTTGACATCCCACATCGCGTGCAAATCAACTCTTCCGATCAACTCTTCTAGAGGCAAGGGCAGGAACCCTAGTACGCTCTCCTATCCATCCGAACGGATATAGAAAGACAGTCCAGGTTTAAAACGTGGGGATACTTCTCAGTACCAGGCCACGACGTACCATAAGGGTGGCTGCCAGACCGCTGCAACCAAATACACCCCTATCACACTCCAACGCGACGTAGAGTTTTCATCCATACACGGCGATACAGACTTACCATCTGCCCACAGCAACACCGACATACCATCAATTTACAACGACTTACATTGCCGATGAATCCACCACAGCACAGACTCCCACCAATGCACCATGACATAGACTCCAAGCTGCAGTCCACCGTAACACAGACTCCCTGCTACGGTACACCATTACGCATACTCCCAGCCACAGCACACAATGGCATAGACTGCCAGCCACCGTCCACCGTGACACAGACTACCGGCCACAGTCCACCATGGCACAGACTCCCAGTCACAGTCCATCGTGATACAGACTCCCGGCTACAGTTCATCGTGGCAGTCTTGCCATCAGACCACTGTGGCAGGCACCCCCATCAGACCACCGTGGCACATATTCCCCGCTACAGTTCACCATGGCATAGTCTCCCAGCCCCAGCCTACCATGGCACAGACTGCTAGACGCAGACTACCGTTACACAGACTCGCAGACGTAACACAGCATGACACAGACTCCCAGTCACCGTTCACCGTGGCTCAGACTCTCCACCACAAACGGCAGCTGCCCACCACACCACAGTTAATCCAGGCGGAATTCACGCCGTCCACCACCAGCCGCCTGCGTTTGGCTGACTAAAATCAACACGAGCAGTGAAGGAAGCTCCAAAAAGAGGCTGCTGCATTCATATTTACCCTGACAAACTGAAATTGAGAAGAAGCGGATCTCGTGATGACGTCACGCAGCCACTTCAAATAGACAAAGCGACATTAATGGTGGCGGGTTCATTGCTTGCAATATACTTATAATCATACTGAAGAGAAACCAACTACGCA